GATTTTATTTTATTAAAACCAACTGTTACATTTTAAATTATGATCTTTATAAAAAAACAGCTACGGTATTTTCAGATTTCACAACTAAAACTTGAACCTAAACCTAATTGAGTTCAAAGTCTGGATGCTGAACTTAAATCAGGACCAAATGAACCAGGAGCCGAACATTCAAAGATATTGTAGAAGTAAAACTTAAAAGGCTTTATTCACTTCGTCTTCCTTAGCTCCAGTCAATTAAATTTTTTATTAGTTTTAATTATTCAAAAATTCATTGATGATAGAAACACATTCAAGTGCCGTTATATGAATACTAAATAAAAAATAATTTTAAATAAAGATATTTTTAACAAAGTTTTTTTTTTACTAAGAAAAATATATATATACTTACGCATGCCCAACTTTAGGAATCCTATGAAATTGTGTATTAGGAATTTCACGATCAAGCAGTTCACCTTCATCAATAGGAATGATTTCATCAACTTCACCATGAACTATCAGGGTTGGAACTTTAATTTCCTGTAACCTTGAAACTAAGTCAACCTGTTTGATTGCTTCCCACTGACGTTCTACAAATATATAACTTTGGTATCAATAAATCTTAATGTATATATATCGATATGTATATATACATACTAAAAATTTCAAGTGGACGGTTAGCGTTAGTGCTGAGTATGATCTCCGCAATTTTATCAAATTTATCAGGATGTTCAAGAAGATAATCGGCTAAAACCTTTTCTGACTTAAGAAGCATATCTTTTTGTTCTTGAATGGTTTTGGGATGATCCACTTTTGGTGATTTATAAAGTTGTTCAGCTGTCTCGTATGATTTTATATCTGTTCTAAAACGAGCAAAACTTCAACAGAAAATAAAGTTAATTCTAAATATGTATTATAAATTAATTATGCAATTTATGTATGTACCTTGAACCAATAATTAATTTCTCCAGCTTAAGATCTGAAAATACCGTAGCTGTTTTTTTATAAAGATCATAATTTAAAATGTAACAGTTGGTTTTAATAAAATAAAATC